GAGTAGTCCTTTAGCTCATTAATAATAAAATAATGACATTAACGTGTGACCGAGTCGCTGCTGAAACAACACACGTCCGTCTGTAATGACGGCCATTTACCGATGTTCTAAAAAAGTTTGTATTCCTGAAAAAAACGTTTCCACACCAGAGGGGGCGCTTGTGAATAGGAAGTAATCTGCTTTTCCCACAGAACATGGCCCAAATCTCACGTGAAGTCTCTGACTTTTGTGTTGGCACCTTCTGGTGGATTATGTGTAAAATGCCAGAATTCATATGATGCTGCTACAGCTGATATATATTTGTTGTCAAAATTCCTTTTAGTACACATGTTGTTAAAATAAAATGAACAGTCCAATGATCATTTTACTGATATGTATAAAGACTGCAAAGGCTGAAAAATCATGAAGTCTGTATGAAATTGGAGGTAATTTGAGGATTAAATTTTTTGTGCTTTTTAAGCTCAAAAAAGGGGGTTCGTATTATACATGAGATTGTATTATACACGAATAAATATGGTAATTCAAAGGTAACAGACCTTTTTAATACTTTATTTACATAAGGACTTTAATTGCTGGATGTTTGGCACTCAGCTGTTGGTCTGCAGTAACTGTGGCCCCCGGAGCAGTTTAGTTGAATATCCCTGCCTTATGGGGACAAAAGCCCAGCTCCCATTGGGGAAAATACCATTGGTGGGTCAGGGGTTGATTTAGGACCCAAGTGTGAATTGACTTTTTCGGTGACCACAAGTTCTCATCGAAATTGTACAAACAAAACCAAATGATGCTACCATGATTGCATCAAGTTTGTGTTTTAGCAAGATGAGAGTGCGGTGCTTAACAGGGCAAAAACAAGTGAATTATACTAATTTCTATTTTTTTCTTTTTAATTGTTGGTAATCAGGTAACTTTGTAATTATGAAACTTGTGTTCTGACCATTTTAAAAAGTTAGCTTTTTTAAAAAAAACTGGTTATTTTACTTAAAATAAAACATTTTCAAACAATAAAAATAAGAATTTGACATTTGTTTACAAAACTCAAAGTCAGTCCTCAAGCAATCCTCCAACAAATGAAAGAATCCACACATATAAATCATAGAAAAGCAGTGTTCGCACCTGATCTGAGGGAAATGAGTGATCAGCTCCCACAGACTCTGGCCAGAAGAGAAGGAGCCCTGGAGCCGGGAGCCGTCCTCCATCTGGAGCGCAACGCGCACCTGACGGGGCGACACCACAGGAACAAACAAGAAGAGTTTAAAGCTACGGCAGATACCACCAACACTCCAAATAAACAAGCAAACATGATGAAAAAAAACAAATTATCATTCATTAACAATAAACTTCAAAAAGTAAAAACAAATAAAATGATGGAGAGCATTGTTCCGACACTGAAACACACATTTTAAAACACTTTGAAGTATTTCACCAGCTACTCTGTACTTCATTACCAGTTTTATTTTCTAAGCACTAAAACGAACTAACATTATTTATATGTACACCTCAACCTGAAAGATTTCACTTTGATGAAATCTGAGGCAAAAATCTCTCTAATTACTGAAAAAGGAAACTCACTTGCGTGTAGTACCCTTCATCTCCCCAGGTGGCCATTTAAACATTCTTGGCTCTTAAGGAAATTAACTTTTTGATAATCGGACCTGATAAAGCTGCACATGTGGGCCTACATCAGTCTGAAAATGAGTAACACCAGGCAACGGTTTGAGCCTGTTGTTCTCTCTCTCTGAGTCACACTTCGAGTTGTTTATGTTTACTCAACAACCGTGTTGTCCAGAACAGAAAGCACCCCGCAGGTCGGCACACCGGGGGAGATGAAAGGAGCGCACTGGCTGTCAACGGCCAAACGCAAAACACGCACACAGCAGACTGCCAACCGTGTGTGTGTGTGTGTGTGTGTGTGTGTGTGTGTGTGTGTAAAATCTGTGAGGGATCAACAGTCAACCATCCATCAAATGAACAGAACAGCAGATCAAACCCAGCAGTGATTTAACTGCTTAGATTATGATGCTATGATGTCATAGGAAGGTTCAGCTCAACTACAACAAAGTCTTGTTTTTTTAGCTTACGTTTTTCGTGAGATGTGTGTGTGTGTGTGTGTGTGTCCTTGTTTTTCCTACATTGTGGGGCCCATGTTTAAGGAAAATGCAGCATCGTGGGGACCGGGTGCTCCTTGTGGGGCCCAACGCCAGGGCCCCACAACTTCGGAGGCTGATTTTGGGTGTTGGGGTTGGGTTTAGGACCAAGGTGTGAATTGAGTTTAGGTCAGTTTTAGGGTCAGGAAGGTACCTGTGAGGTTAGGGTTAGGTTTAGGGTTG